GGGAATCGTTCACGCGATAACACTGACGATTAATTTCGATGAACACTACTGTATCAATTTTGTTCTTTGACTTTGTCATATGCATAAAAGACAGCTAAATAATTCACCTTGAAAGAGATAATTTCAGTAATTTCAGTGCCAGCACAGCATATCCTGTGTCCTACCTTGGAGGTGAGCTACTTCTTTACTTCGCATGCTGCATTTTCGTAAAAATAGTTTTATTTTCATATGTTCTTGGGAAATTCATACTTTCTTTTTCTAAGAACATGTTCATGTTCATGTTCCTCTCTTGAAAAAGCAACTGGAATTGCCACCGGGAAAAGAGGGATACGCGAATGAGAAGGGGCTCTGGTTGATCAAGCCATCAACCAGTGCGCCTTTTCATTGGCGTATGCCTCTATAGAGCATTTTAGAAAAATCGATAAGTCAGTGAGGAGCAGAACAATGACTGTTTGTCCCCGCCCATCTGGTCAACCTGGATGGACTGTAAAGAACTCTCAAAGGCAAATGGCCCTGTACATTGGCTGGTGGTCGGAACGATACGACTTATGCTCATACTTGGCGGGGGGGGGGCAGAAATAAGCTGGTAGACTCCTGTTGTCACCGTGAGAGTGCTCTTATGTTAGCCGTGAAAGACTTCAAACATGGTTAGCCCAGAGAATGCCTTTCTGTTGAGCATTTAGACTTCTTACGCACAGTCGATTCATCAGATCTTCATCTTTGAAGAATGTACAGTAAACGAACAGTATTCCAACGCGTCAGAATTGGAAATAAAGGTAGCTCTTCTGAGTGGCCTGTTTTTCAGCAGCACCTGTGATTGCGCCGTCATCATTTAGTGCCATTAACGTCGGCATCGCATCTGGATCTCCTTTTGTACCGGATGTTTTCCCGCTCAGTCAGCCGCTCTTTCCTTACATGATGGTAAGCTGATTACCTTCGGTCTGCTTTAGCTTGCTTTAGCCTCATATGGCATGTAACAGCAGTGAAAGAGGAATTTTGCAAGGAGGCTGCGAAAGCAGTGAATGAGGGCCTTGGAAGAAAACGAGATTCAGAGGAAACTGAGCGCGCAATCGACATTATCAGGGCTCGATATGCGTAGGGAAGTAGTGCGCGAGGAAGACTGGAGGAAGAAGCGGTCACAAGCCTCTGACCCCTCCTTAGCTCATTTTTAAGTGGCGGGGCAATAAGCCCGTGCAGCTGGGAACTCGCAGTGAGGAATTCTACCTATCAGGTTACGCCTTTAAAGCGCCGATCACTCCAGGTGAATTGAGTGAATTCTGAAACTTTGGGAAGTAGAGGCTTCGGTATTTGAAATCAGAAATTTTGTTAACTTTAACGAAAAACTGTGAGTGAGATATTATTTCAGTTTCCCAGCTCACTCTTCCTCGGTTTCCCTCGTCCAGCAGCGGAAATACGTAACAGTGTGCACACATATGCCAGAGGTATGAGTTCACTTTACCAATTCATTTACTTTCTACTACCCCAAGGTATTAGTGCTGAATGTGATAAATCTTACAAGTGACAAGAAAACAACAGTACTTTTCGTGAAGGTTTCACTGCTGCCCTTCCTTCCGAAGGGTGCGCTGTTCTGGTTAGAGTGACTGGTCCTCCGGCATAAACCTCTATGCACCTATGCCACGACTCCTCTCCAGCCTAGAGGCTGTCCATCACCTACAGCCTTGTTCGCTGCAGACTCGGTTTGGCGCAGTGCCAGCCAGTTTTCTACCAGTTGTTTTCGCCCGCTAACTTCCACGATTGGTGAGGAACGGGCTTGAGCCCCTCCCGCTTCCCCTCTACCAAGCAACACCAGCATAGTGAGCAGGTCTGCACCTTTGTTCTGTATCACACCACCCGCACACCTGAGCCTGAGTTTATGACTGCGAGGCATTCTGATGGTTGTCGTTAATGCATTTAATTATCATAACTTATTTTTCCAGAGCTCGGTCAAACTCGGGATACGGCCATTCGTTCTTATTTCACTTACCCTTACCTGCTACGTAAGGCGTTGTACCAACAGCTGCTGAAGAAGAAGGCTGCCGCCAAGAAGGCCTTCACGAAAGAATAGGCATCGATATATCGCCAATACGAAGAAGTGCTGTATTAAACGATGTTAAATACTCGACTTATTTGTACTAGTTGTTTTGTGTTTGTGTTACTTTATTCACATCATTCACAGCCGAAATTGCCAGCTAGCCATGAAAACACCACGAATAAAGCACCATTACTAATCATTGCTTAATCAGCTTGTTTAAGACTTTCAAAGGAATTCTTCGATTTTTTTCTGATGTTTTTGGAAAGGGAGTGCCGTTAAGACAAGTCCACCAGCATAAGCCCAAAATGTCAAAATATTTTCTGACAAAATAGTCCCCACTCGGACTTTCTACGAGCGTAACCGATTCGCTGGATTGTTAAGCGATTT